CCATCCGTCCTGCTGAAATTTCCGGGATTAATGAGATGTCCGGGCTTAGAAGAGCCTAGATTTGAGTACCCTAAATATTATCCCTCTCGGCAGACATAAACTGCATCCTGCACCTCAAATGCAGCATATGCGACCGTGTTGCACTGCCTCGCATTCTCGTTCTGTCCCTCCACAACATGTTGCTCAAGCAGTTCCGGTCATCAAGCACTTTTGCAGTCATTGTGGTCTGTGTGGCAGTTTTCACTGATATCTTCCTCTATGGACTAGTCGTGCCTATGCTTCCATTTGCCCTCGCTGAGCGTGTAGGCCTCACTGATGCCGATATCCAGCGTTGGAATTCCATCTTACTTGCCAGCTACGGGGCATCTATCATGCTGGGCTCATGTACGTGCATTCATTGTCGCCAGAAGTGAACGTCACTGCATGCATATTCTTACTAATCCGTGGTAACAGTCCTATTCGGCTGGATGGGCGACCGAACTCGCACGAAGCAGCTGCCATTTTTGCTCGGGGTCGGGGTTATGGGGGGTGCTACACTGCTCTTTTCACTTACCAGCTCATTGACTCTTATCCTTCTCGCCCGAATCCTACAGGGCTGCTCGACTGCCATAGTATTTACCATCGGCTTTAGTTTGATGCTGGACACAGTCGGAGAGCAACACATTGGACGTGCCATCGGCTTTACGAGCATGAGTCTCAGCGTTGGCTTATTCGCAGGGCCCATCGTGGGTGGGCTTTTATATGACCTAGCGGGCTACTTCGACGTCTTTGTCCCAGCCTTTGCGCTTGTAGTACTGGAGTTTGTGCTACGGGTGCTTCTTATCACGCCGTCCCATGAGATCGATGTCAAGCAAGACCTCTCCGACGAGGAGGGGCGTCCGCTAATGTCAAACGTGGCGGGCGATCCGGTCACAGACCATCCAAGAAAACCAGCACTGTTATACTTGATATGCATGCCTAGGTTTCTCGTGGCAATGGTGGGAATGTTTATGCTGAACTCGTTCATGACTGCCTTGGAGGCCGTACTCCCCGTGTATCTCCCGGAGGTTTTCCCCTATCGGTCGACAGATATCGCCATTGTATTTCTCTCTAATACCCTGCCTATGATCTGCTCTCCACTGGGCGGATCTGTGGTGGATCGCTTGGGTCCGTTCTGGCCGGCGATTTTGGGCTTTGCCTTGATTACTCCGAGCCTGATGCTGCTCTCGCTCATACTTGAGCCGACGGAAGTAATGTCAGTGCTGCTCCGGCTGTTCTTATTTCTTTTCGGTTGCGGAATATCTCTTGCCATGCCTGCAATGATGACAGAAATTACCTTAGCCAAAGACGACATGGAGAAGGGATGTCCGGGGATATTTGGGGATGGAGGGGCGTCTTCGCAGGCTTACGGTCTAAGTAATGCCGCATTCGCTGCTGGGACACTGGTTGGGCCTTTGTATGCCGGATATGTTCGGGAGGCTGTGAGCTGGGCTGCGATGGCAATCTCACTAGGAACCTTCAGTGCCTTGATGATGATTCTCGCTATTGCATTCACTCCCATGAATCGGTCGAGTGCTACGGAGCGCTCGAATTCCCAGATCATGTAGGCAACGGTGTGAGACATAAAACTACCTGAAAAAGACGAATTTCAATATATTCAATATGTTCAATATCAAGGCCGATCATATGCTTAGTTCATCTTGACGGGCATAGTTACTGGATACTCCTCTGACTCGACGATCTCTGAAAAGAAAAGCCCATGATCCCTGCGCACTGCATCCAGTATCTCGATGACAGTCAGGCTTTCCGTCCACGGCATGACTGCACTTTCCTGGCGTTCATCTCGGACACAACGGGCGACCTCGTCCGCTTCGAAGCAAAGCCCATGTGCGCCTCCTGGAACTCGATACTCAAACTCTTCCGCTTCACCGCTAACACCGAACTGCTGCACTCGTTTGATGATCCGGTACTTGGACGGACACCAAGACTGGCCATAGATCTGGATCTCCCCTCTGTCCCCCTGGATCCGTACTACCGGGGTGTGACCGTCCGGATCCGCCATGGCGCGTAGGCTGGAACTGGCAATCGCCTGCACCGATACAGGCGACTGACTTGTGTCAGAGAAGGTCATAAGAATGGTTGAAGATTCATCCACCCCGGCGCCGAGAAGGGTTGTTGTTGCTGATAGGATGCTGCTGGGCTTGGGATCGGGCCTGGGAGCGAGGGTCTGCATGATCCAGTGGATTGGATATACGCCCACTAAAGTCCAGCCATCGTTAGTGTCGTTCCGCGCAGAGAAGATACGCATCACGTACAATCTAGTAACGCGCCCCCAGCCAACTCCTTCTTTGTAAGATAGCTATCCTTCAACTCCTTCAAAGCGTTCGTTCCGATCGAGTTGTCGGCAAAGATCCGAACAACGGGCCCAATGGCACCATTCTGGACTTCTTGCCGAATCTGAGCCGAGATTGGGAGAAATCGTGTCCACATGGCTTCCATGAGGAAACGTTCACGCGCACGAGCGGTCTCGACGAGTCGATGTGCCTGTCTAGCCGTCACAGTAAAGGGCTTTTCGCAGAGGACATGCTTTCCGGCCTGCAGCCCGAGCATGGCATTCTGGTAGTGATGGGAATGTGGTGAGGCGACGTAGACAACATCTACACGGGGGTCCGCCACCAGAGCGTCGTAGCTACCATATGCAATGCAGGACGACGGCGCTCCGACCTTGTTGATGAAGCGGCTGGCGATCTCGGTGGATCGCGAAGATGCCACCGCCACCAATAAATGCGACACATCAGTAATACCTCGTGAGGCGGGATCAATGAGAAGGTCTTTTGCAAATGCTACATGGCGGATTAGCTGATGGAACCCACAGCACTACTTGTCAAGTGTATTACTCTCAGCGATGCTTCCTGTGGCTATCAAAAGTTAACAGTCTGGTAACGTATCCACGGACAAGGCAATGTAAGCAAGACACATACCAATAATACCCCAACGGACGCAGAATGGCACTGGCGCAGAATAGGAACTCATGTCGTTGAATAGGTAGATGGCCGACAGCACTCAACCACATAACCCAGAGCTGGGCATAATTTCAATAGCTATTCATGAACGAAGAATAGAACATGTCCATTTAGCACCTTACAGCAGACCAAGTCACCTCAAGTTTGAGAGCCTTCACCTGTGCCAGTGTTGCCCACCCACAGTCAGACCGAGAAGCACTTGGGCGAACACTCTATGGTGTGACAAGCGTCGGACAGGCTGACACACCATGCTGTCACGACCGCCATAAGGGAGGGGTCTGTGTTACATGTCATTTACATGTCATAACAGCACGAGGATTGATGATATCAGGCAGGGATGACTGAGAATTTTAGATGTGTCTGACAGTGTCCTTCATGGTCCAGGACTTCAGGGAAAACAGAACCTTTCGGCAGCCGACGTTCGAGCGTCCGTTGATTGTGCACATGACAGCCATCAAGCAGAGAAGATGGTGAAAACCGCGCAAGGGGAGTGTGACTAATCATATATGGTGTAGAAAGAATCCTAGATATCTGATGGCCTTACTTCAATTTCATAGAATATAACTACGTGAGTCAGATGAAAAAGTACCAACTCCCCTCAGCAAGAGTCGGCTCCTAAGTGCTTGAACGTTGCCATGCAGGGGGCGAGCATACCCACTTTCCAGCCAACCGTCACTGGCCAGGAGCTGGAGGCCATCCAAGAGGTACTCGACAGCCGAAATCTGACGGGGAAAGGGAAGTACACGACATTGTGCCAGCGATGGCTTGAAAGAAGCATGCCACATGGCAAGGCCTTTGTCTTGAGCTCGTGCACTTCGGCCTTGGAAATTGCGGCCCTCCTAGCTGATCTGCGGCCAGGGGATGAAGTGATTGTACCAAGCTATACGTACGTGTCGACAGTCAATGCGTTTGTTGTCCATGGGGCGCTACCGGTCTTTGTTGATGTGGAAGAGACGACCATGAACATCGATGCGCAGAAGATCGAGGATGTCATCACCCCTCGGACCAAGGCCATTGTGCCGGTGCACTATGCTGGAATCGCCTGCGACATGGACACCATTCTGGATATTGCCAATCGACATGACCTCCTCGTGATTGAAGATGCTGCCATGGCCTGCAGCAGCATGTATCGAGGACGAGCGCTGGGAACCATAGGACACCTGGGTTGCATCAGTTTCCAAGAAAAGAAAGTATTTACCAGTGGCGGCCAGGGAGGGGCATTACTCGTCAATCAAGACGCACTCGTGGCGCGAGCTGAGGTTTTATACGAACACGGCACGAACCGGGCTCAATTTCTGCGTGGTGAAGTAGATGTCTATCGTTGGCTGGATGTCGGGATTAATGCAACCCTGAGTGAGATCCAAGCAGCCTTTCTCTACGCCCAGTTTCAAGCCGCACCAGAGATTATTTCACACCGCCGACGTCTCTGGTCTCGCTATCACAAACGCCTGGCCCCTCTGGCCCACGCGGGCATCATCCGGCTACCCCAGCCGGCTGCAGAGGCGGATCATAACGCAGCCATCTTTTGGGTTCGGTTGGCTGATGCCTCGGACCGACCTGCTTTCATCGAGCATCTGGCGGCCGCACATATTCAGACACAGGCCCAATTCGTGCCGTTACACTCTTCTCCGTTCGGCAAACAGGTCGGGCGCTTTCATGGCGAAGATCGGGTGACCACACGGGCGGCAGCAGAGATTGTCTTGTTACCACTCTTCGCGGAGTTCACGGAAAGGCAACAGGATCTTGTCATTCAGCGCGTGTGGGAGTTTTGGCGGGGAGCGATAAACATTTCGAGTCTTGAAGACCTCCAGGATGCTAAATTAATTGGTTCTTAAGCGATATTAGGGTTTGGGGGTGTAACTAGCACTGTTTTCCTCCGAGGTTTGGAACAGAAGCGGCACGCTGCCAGCAGCAATGGTGGGCCTAATTCGGTTAATCCCTCAAAATATATATATTTCGCGGGTACGGAAAGGATGTAAGATTTTAGAAAGCCCTGGGATTAGAACGGAGTTGCATTACTAGTAGTAGAGTGTGGTCGAGAAAACCATTCCCTAAGTTTCGAGGCGAGTCTACCGACGCCCCTTCAGGTTCCGCACGGAGTCGCCCCGAATCTGACATTCCATCCAGGTATTCTCAGGAGCGCCCTTCCACCCTGTGGGCGTCTTTTCTGCTGGTGCGCGTAACAGGAAATCCCAAGACCCTGCAGAGCGCCTTCAGCCCATGGCCGAGAATGTACAGTTCCAGACTGATGAAGTTGAACCACATTAGGGCGATAAAGTAGATGACTGCCCGAGGAGGGATCCAACGAAATAGTTGTGTCGGATCAAAGCCAGCCTTTGCCTTGAAGTCATTAATTTTAGCCAGGGCTGTCGTCGTCTGGGGCTGATCGGATAGAGGCTCAGTCTGCCAGTTTTCCAAGAAGTTGGGGTCGTTGTAGATCACGGTCGCCATGACGCCGCCAAAGAAGGTCAACAGAAGCAGAAGGAGGCCTTTGGTCAGCAGCTCGTACAGCCATGTGCTGCAGAAAGAGAGGAAAATGAGCGCGCCCCGTCGAGAACCGTTGTCTGCTGTTGCCAGGAGATGCGCGATGGTTCTCCCCTCGGTGGGGGCGACAGGCTGAAGGCGGACCAGCAATCGGCAGACGAGGAAGGTGAGCAAACTGATGGAGGCGGCCTGCGCGGTGAATGTGGATTCGGTATTGAGAACATTGATAGCGGTCAAGCTCAATGCAGTGATGGCCCACGTGGCTAGAAATCCAACAGCGAGAAAGGTGCAGATCGGTCCACTGAGGCGGGAGAGGGCAGCCATGGCAAGATAGCAAACAGCACAAATCGTAGTTGGGGTGAAGTTGACCTTTCTCACCCTCTAAGACCGGAGATTCCGAGTTTTATATCCTACTGATGATGCTTAGCGAACCAATTCTATAGCTTTGGACCCTTGCGCCCTGGATGAGCCGGAAAGCGATAGCGTTGATAGGGCCATCGCCTATTCCCGAAATAGGCGAAGACGAGGCTATTCCAGGCGTAATGTGGAAGGCGGACGCTGCTCGACTGAGACACGCCCCACTGTTCGTCTTTCATGTTCTGTCGGAGTGGAACCCCTTTCATCTACGGGTACCTGGCAAGTGCTAGATAGGTAGATGTCCAGAGGCAGGCAGACATGGCTGCCTGCCGGGATGTATTATGAAGTAGCACGTATTCCAACCTCTCACAGTGAGTGAAAGGTAGCCAGCCAAAAATTTCGGCTCAAAGTTTGCGACAGTCGGGCACCCAGTGTCGTCAGCGAGAGTGAAATCAGTTATAAGAGCTGTGATAGGAGGATGTACTTTTGCACAAGGGCACTTATGGAGGATTTGTTGGGCTCTGAGTGATTCTTCCAGGGGCCATTGTGTGTTGAGCCGGGGTGAATCTCCTCTCTATGACCAGTTGGGAGACTGCAACTGCAACAACATGACGTTTGTCTTGATATAATCATGCCCCTATATAGGAATTGGCAGAGATGGATTCTATACAAAGAAGACGTGTCTCCTTTCCCTCTGGAGTTGCCCTTCTTTCCCTTCTGCAAACTCTTCGCGGGAGTCTCGGATAGACTCCTCGCCAAGACATTTCCCTAGCCCCCAACAAAAGTCTGGAAAACCCTGATCAAAGGGACCGATTACTATCAGCATAGATGCTGACTAGGTCTTTAAAGGTGGAATAAATCCAGCAAAGGCTGATAAATGCCATTATCCTCCTCCATGCGGCTTTTCTCTTTGCGATGAGTCTTTTCTGTGTAGGACTCTGACCGGGAATCTACCGAGCATCGGAGAATCCTCGGAAGGCAAAATGGAATTGAATTGGATTGGATGATTATTGTGCTCAGAGAGCCGAGAAGCCAGAATCAAGGAACAGAGGATTCGTGCCGGCTGGTTCCCTCGTGGCTGATTCCACGCACGTTCCATCCACCACGAACCATATCACACAACTCTATACAATATTCATCTTGCATTGAAGTACTTTATAACTATACCGGATATTCACTAAACACAAACGTCGGTATTTACACCCGATTACTGGGTGAAGTGGAAATCTTTGGCATCTTTCTGGTTCTTCCGAGGTCAGCCCCCCCCCGATCGATCGATGAGGAGGGGATATGGCTATCCATGGCCCAATAACTCAGGATGATCGGTGACGATGACCACAGAGCACCGTCATTGAGCGGGGGGCTACAGTGGGTTATCTCTGCCGACTAGGGCCAACCAGCGAAGCATTGGGGGATCAGGCCAGGAACCAAACCCTGTTGCGTGTCGATATTTCTGCCTCAAGCTTTCCGACAGGCCCCAGCAGGATCCACTCATGACGCCAGTCTTTCCATGTCTTCAACGCTCCCCAATAGTCCGCCCGCACCATCGCAATCCACTGGCCTGTACTTTGTAGATCTGGCGCATCAATTTTGCTCAATGACTGGTGCGGATGCGCTCGCTTACGCCGTCGCTGCAGTCTGTTCCAATCGGAGAAGCGGAGAGGGCGCCAGCATGTCGTCGTCATGGTCCATGCTGCTTCTTCACGGCATTCATTGTTCTCCTGTCTTTTTATTGTACCCTGCCCCTGTTTCTCACTGGCTAGTTTTTAAACATCCGGAACACCGGCTGGGGATCTGAGTGTCTCTCGCAGCCATTGCTTTCATTTGAGTCGGCCATCCGCATCCTGTCAGCAGTAGCAATTCTATCATTCTCCGAACAAGCATATAGCATCTAATACCGTCACATCATGGACGACGGGGAGACCAGGCGCCCTCGGGCAACGGTATGTTCCCACGCAATCCCCTGTAGCTGCACCAGGAGCTGATCGGAGGGTAATTTCCTCGCTTGAGCAGTCCGATGCGATCTCCCCTCGAGGAGAGAATCCGCCCACATCACCTTTATCACCTACGCGCGGCCGTCGAGGGACTGCTGGTGACGCCGACTTTGTTTCTCCCACCCGCCGTGTGTCTGGTCGTGATGGCTCCGGGGCTGGAGTCCGTCGACGCAGCTCCGCCGCTTCCCGCCGCAGTGGTGGCAGTGGCATTCCCAGTTTGGCACCACGCACCACGCTGGCTGAACGAACCCAAGGTCGCTTCACCATGGCTGGTCCCGATGAGACGCCTCAGCTGCGACTGGCCCATGAACCATTTGTGCAACCCGGTTACGGCGATCTCAATCCATCCTACGAACAGCCCGCCAACTCCAAACCTGTCTGGGGTTTGGCGAAGCCGCTCCCTCGTGTCGTCCGACCGGGCATGGTGCCGACGAAAGAGGAGCTGTTGGAAGCCCGTCAAAACATTCAGCTGCCAGCCGAAAACTCACAGAAGCTAGGGCTGGAGGTCGACCCCAATGACTTGGAGCAAGGCCAAATCGAGAAGACGGCTGACCCTCGTAAAATGGCGGCCCAGGTGGAAGATGCCCGGATCCAGCGCGAGAACAATTTCATGAACAAGATTCTGAGTGGGGATGCCACCACAACGCGACAAGGTTCACGCCTCTCGCGCACTTCGTCATCGCGCATCCGCCGTCCATCTGCCTGGGATCTCCCGCCGGAGAACCTGTCAACGGTGCCCGAAGGCGAGACGCCGGCTCCGAGTGAGACCCATGAGGAACCCCCTCAGATGAGTAGTGAGGAGCCCTTGGAGCCCGTGCCGGAGGAGCCCGAGCTGCGCGCTGACGATGGCAAGGACGGGATGATGATGGACGATCTGCCCAACCTGGAGGAGATCGAGGCCGCCTATCCGGAAGATCTGCATCCGCTGGTGCAGGAGCTGGTGGAGGAGGAGGTGCACAACAACCACACCACCTGGTCCGTCATCCGCACCCATCACCGCGAAGCCCTAGCCGAGTCCCTGGGGGTCTTCGTGCAGCTGTTCGTCGGCTTTTGCGGCGATCTGGCAGTGACCGTGGCCGACGCCGGTAATCCCAACACCACCGACTGGGTCTGGGGGTTTGCTACCATGATGGCCATCTACGTCTCTGGTGGTGTGTCCGGTGCCCATCTTAACCCGACCATCACCATCATGCTCTGGTTCTACCGTGGATTCCCGAAGAGCAAGATGCCCGAGTACTTTGCTGCGCAGTTTTTAGGAGCCTTCATCGCCGCGCTCGCCGCGTACGGTCTCTACTATCACTCCATCCAACACTATCTCCTGACCAACTCCACCTCGGGCATCATCACCAGCTTCGTGACCAGTCAGCGTGAGACCTGGATCGGTCCTGGTACTGCCTTCTTCACCGAATTCTTGGGCACGATGGTGCTGACGGTGGTGGTCCTGGCGCTGGGTGACGATCAGAACGCACCCCCAGGAGCGGGTATGAACTCACTCATCGTGGGTCTCATGGTGACCTGCAACACAATGAGCTTTGCCTACCAGACGGGTGCCGCCTTGAATCCGAGTCGAGACTTTGGGCCGCGACTGGCCTTGCTGGCTCTCGGGTACGGCTCGTCGCTGTTCACCAATCCGTACTGGTTCTATGGGCCGTGGGCCGGATCACTCGCGGGCTCCTTCCTCGGTGCCTTCCTGTACGATTTCTTCATCTTCACGGGTGGTGAGTCCCCAGTTAACTACCCCTGGGAACGGACACAGCGGGCGATGCGCAAGAGTCGGATGAAGTGGGGGAAGCGGTTGCATCTGTCGCGCCGAGACCGGGGAGAGAAGACTGTGCGTTAAATAGCGGTCGCGTAGATACATGGGGTGTTTTTTATTACCGGTTGATTCACTATATTGTCTGAGAAATATTTTCAACTTGCGTGCGGCAGAAACCATGGTTTTTGTAGTTACATGATACACTCAGAGTGACCGCAATTAGCGGTAACGTTGTACATAAGCATTGATGGTTGTTTTGAAATAACATGCACAGTTGCATTTTTTTGATTTTCGGTGTTATTACAGTTGTCAGCGTACCAGTAGTACTTTATGCATGCATCCTAGTGGCAACTTTTCATCGCCTGTTTGTTCTATTCCGTACCAGTCTATAGTATATAGTGTCCCTGCGGCCACCCGATCGGTATCCCGAGTCATGAATTATCGGACCACTTCGGCAATCGACCGAGATGCGGGCGAATTTATAAGGTCATGTCGACCAGATATTGATTGTTATCTGGCATTAGTTGTTCTTTCATCATCTGTGCCAATGTGCCTGGTTGAGAGCGTCCCCACTACAAGTTGAAATGACGTCACCAATCATTGCCTCCGAAACCATGAGACTGGATATGATGCTCGGTGTTGTCCAGGAAAGGCAACAGATGATAGATACAAAACAACAGGATATTTGGACAGGTGGTCTGGGGACAGCAGCTATTTAGCCCGTGTAGAACCCTACAACCTGGCACCATTATTGCTAGTCCGACTCCTCCGCCCTCTTGCCAACCATCACCACCGCCATCGATATGAGCCGTGATGCAGAAGGAGGCTATACAATGTCTCCCATTCGCAGGGTAACCTCATCGGTAGCCTGGGGCTGGTATGCTATCTCACTCAGCTGGGGTGGGATAGCGGTACTGCTGCACCAGACCCCAAACCAGTTCACCGGCCTCACGACCATCGGAACCATCGTCTTCATCGCCAACCTCGTCATCTACACCACAGTTACCCTCTGCCTCCTCTTCGAGGCTGTCCAGCCACAGAAGGCCCCTAAGCCCCTGGAGGAATCGCCCAACTTTGCCGCCCGGTGGCTGCATATCAAGAAGCCTCAGGACCTGTACTTCATCCCGGTATCGCTGCTCGCCTTTGCGACCATCATCTTCTGCACCTCCTACTATGGCACCCCGCATTGTGGTCGCTGGTTAATCCTCACCCTGAACGTCTTCTTCTGGGTCTACACTGGCGTCTCACTGTTGCTCTCCATTCTCCTGGGCTGGTGGATCCCGTATACCGGCACAAACCATGGTGACCACTTTGCCATTGTGAACATCCTACCCTACTTTCCACCCATGCTCAGTGGCACTATGGCCGGCGTGTTGGCCCCGAACCAGGCCCCCGCTCAGGCGGTGCCCATGCTTGTAGGCGGCACCACCATGCAAGGATTCGGATTTCTCATGTTCTTGG